GAAGGCAGAGGCTTCACCAACTGAGCCACCCAGGCGCCCCTCAAAATAAATATATCTTAAAAGCCAACCAACCAACCAACGCCCAAAATCCCACGGCTTCCAGATCTGTGGCCCAGTGGCTGATGTGCCGGATGGTGCTTTGCCTGACGCACCGTCCCGAGGACCCACCACTGCCCTGGGAGCTGCAGCCCCCATCACTGGGTGCACACTCCCTGGCCCCACACACCTGCGCCGGGGCAAGGCCCTGGCCAGATCAAGGTGGACAGTCACTCCCAAAGAGGAGCTTGGAGGGCGTGTGAGTGTGTGCATACATTTGCACACATGTGTGTCCAGCTGCCGGTGCCATGGCCATGCCTCGTGGACACCCACGACTGTCTGGGTGGTGGGCAGCCTACTGCAGATGCAGCTATTGCCCACGGCCCTGTCCGCACGCTCTCTCTGCGCGCACAGGACTTGTGCTGGCCACACGGGCATTGTCTGGTTAGGAGGACCGTGGCCCTGAGTCCTCCCCAGAGCAGGCCAGGTCTGGGACCAGACAAACCTGATGCATGGCTCTCAGGAGCCCTTGGCAGGATCTGGCCCCACACTTGGCCCCAGGCAGCCATCAGCAGGTGGCTACCCATGCTGGTCCAACCTCTGACTCCTTGGGGTGGCTCAGGGCCAGGTCAGCTTGCAGTGCCCCAATGGCCAGATGCACTTGCCAGACCTGGTGCTGGGCTGATGCGTGCCCGGCTCACCATGCTCCTCCCTGCTCTCAGGAGCCCTGCTCCAGGAACCCCCATCTCTTCCCCACCCACAACAGATGGCCCGAGCCTGGCTGGGGTGGCTACCTCTCCAGGCCACAGTATGGCTGAGTATGGCTGAAAGCCAATATAGTAAGTACACAGGCACAGCAAGTACCCTCATCAAGCAGAGTGACCAGGTACGGAGGCCTCAGCAGAGTGGGGGCCAGCTGGCTGAGACATGGAGGCCAGTCCTCATCTGCACCCCTCCTCTCTGACCTGTTGGCCTGTGGCTGGGGACCCTGTTCCAGGATTGCCTGTCGTTCTTCTCGGGGCCTCAGTGGCGGGGGGGGCTCCCTGAGGACCCCACGTCCCGTGGGAACCTAGGACATGGTCCTCAGAGGACACGTGTGTCTGCTTGGAGGTGCTGTGCCTGCCTCCACATACCGGCTGCCAGTGTAGACCGGGCAGCTCTTGCCACAGCCCTTCCCTGAGCTGTGGGTGCCAAGGGGTCTCGCGCACTGGGCCTTACCTTTGGTGTCATTGACGGGGTCCATGTGCCGGTAAATGTAGCCCTCCAGGTAGGAGTGGAACTTGGGTGTGGGTGGGAAGAAGGCCAAGCAGATGGCCATGAGCTCCCAGCCGCGGGCCAGGCTCTCGAGGCGGAAGTTCTCAGTGGTCTGCCGGCACAGCTGGATGTAGAGCTCGTCCCGCAGGCCCTGCACGCTCCAGCCCTTGGTGGCTATCTCCAGGGCCACGTGCAGTGGGTCAGCCTTGGCGCGCCGGTCACCCATGTACATCTGGATCAGTTTGAAGATCTCACAGGCCTCCTTCTTCACGTGGCGGTCGCTGGTTACAATCATGGGCTTCTTGATGGACTCACTGCTCCAGGCCAGCATGTTGGCGATGGACACCTTCCGCCGGAAGAGGCCCTGTGTGTGCGTGTTGAAGTGCTTGGAGGCCCAGTTCTCAATGTCGGTCTCCGAGGACGGCTTGCGCAGAGTGAAGGTGGGGAACACACAGCTAGCGCTGGGCATGACGCTGCGGGCCTGCCGGCTGCTCTCAAACTGGGCACAGGAGCCGAGGTCCTCAGACTAGGAAGGACAGAGGGGCCATGAGGGGGTGTGGCCTCCCTGCTGCCGTGAGGCTGCTGGAGGAGCTCTGGGCCTCATCTTGTTCTACCCACTGCATAAACACATGCCAGGTCCTCGCACAAGGCTGGGAAGGGACCCACAGAGGCCCTTCTTCCAACCTTTACCCTGAGGGGTAAAGAAGTGCCCTCCCTATTCCTGCAACTGAGGGTTGGTAGTGGGGGTGGGGGGGCGTCCAGTGCATGTCTGGGGGCGGGAGGAAGCCACACATGTGTTTCATTGGCTTTCTGGGCTGACTGGCCCCTGGTGGGAGGATGCTAGGGGATGCTGCCCTCTCCATGCAGAGTGCCGAGACCCCGTGCACGGTGAAGGGCACTGCCTCCTGCTGGCCTTGCTTCTGCTAGTTCACTGAGCTCTGAGGTTGAGAAACAGGTGAAAAGGGCAGCCCCGCCAACATGAGAAAAACCCGAGACGCAAAGTTCCATAGAGAGACACAGATGTCTCTCCTGGTCCACTACACTGGCCGCCCCTCCCGTCACGGAGCCTTACCCTTCCAACAAAGATCCCCACATGGGACTGGGGGCAGAGTGAGGCCGGGCAGTGGCAGGGCCAGCCTGCAAGGGGGCTAGGATGCTTCCCACAATGCTGGGAAGGGAAGGTTTGTCCCAAGCCCCCTCCCTGCCTCCCTAATGGCCTCAGCATGACCGTACAGGGCATCACTGGGCTAACAGCCCTTTGTTTTCTTGGCTTAGACAGAAACACTGCTCTGAGCTCTCTAGCCTGGAGGGGCACTAAAGCAGCCCTGCCCAGGGACACTGGCCTCCCAAGGTTACCGGGTCCTTGGGCACGTCTTCCCTGGTGGGGTTGAGAGCCCAACACCAGGAGGCCCTCTGGCCACTGCCAGCTCTTGGCAGATGCCAGGGCAGACCCTCAGCCTTGGCTTCATGCAGCAGACTGGTGTGAAAGGTCAGGGGTCAGGAGGTGAGAACTAGGACAGTGGCCCACACAAAGTTCTGGGGCATCAAGCTCCAGCACATGACCTAGACAGAATACGCACATGGGTTCAGAGAGCCTGACCAGAGAGGACAAGCCAGGCCAGGCTTCTGCTTTGGCTCCAGAGGCAGCACGAGGACCAGGTGTCTGGTCTCCCCTCCTTGCTGCAGAAGAGCTCTAAGCAAGGGCACCTGACACTCCACCTGCATAGCTCCTCGCCTGAGAGCCTGTTCACAGATGGGAGAACAGAGGCTCAGGGGCTCAGCGGTTGGGTGGCTGCCCACCTGTTTCCCCTGACTACCCTGCACCCACGGGCTGGATGGAGTCAGGGCACGGCCTCTTGACCCGCAGGTGACTTGCCAGGACCTGGCCAGGCCTTACCAGGAGCTGAGTGCCGCACCATGCCTTGGGACCACCACCTGCCCCCCCTCTGCCCAGGGACCCTGGCAGCGCCTCCCTACCTGTGAGGGGTGAAGGTAGGGCTCTGGCGAGGCCAGGTTGGTCTGCACGGAGACGCTCTTCTCGAGCAGGATTTGGGGGAAAGCAAGCCTCTCCAAGGCGCCCCTCTGCCAGTGCTTGCTCTCCTGCTGGGCCAGTGCCTCGTCCTCACTGAAGGCACGCACCACAGGCCCGGGCATGGGCAGTGGCACGGCCCCGTCGCTCTCGTAGCCCGAGCCATCCTGCTGGGAGTCCCAGCTGCCCCTCTGCTTCATGTGAAAGTGGGCCTGCTGCGCCTCCCAGGCTAGCCGTGCCTGCGCCAGGAAAGGCTCGGCCTCGCCCGTCTTGCCCTCTGCACGCTTCACTGGGGCCAGGCTAGGCCCACACAGAGGCCGCTCCTCAGCCAGGGGCTGCTCACCGAGGAGGTCACGGTCCCCGGGGCCTTCAGTGGACGAGGTGCTGGGGGCGTGGCACAGAGAAGGGTTCCTGCTCTTCCTCTTCCGTGTGCCTGGGGAGTAGCCTGTTGAGGACATGGTGTCCTGCTGGCTGGACCAGGACATAGCGTCGTCTTGGGCCTGGGGCAGCTGCACCCGTGGCTGGGCGTGCTGCAGCTCAGGCCCCCCCATGCTGCTGTAGTCCCCAGAGGAGACCCCCAGGCGCTGATCCCGCAGCAGGCAGGGGCTGGGCTGCAGGGGGAGTGAGCCACCTCCAGGATTGGGTGCATACTTGTGCCTTGGGCCTGCACGCAGCTTGGGACTGGAGCCCGCCTGCTCCACATACACCAGCTGCCGCACGTACTCCTTGCCTGCAGGGCTGTACTCCAGGCTCAGGAAGCGCTCGGGGCACTTCTGCCTGGTCAGCACCAGCTGCTGGTAGGGCGAGGCAGAGCCCTGCTTGGGAGACTGTGGGAAGGGGGGTGGCTTGCGGCCCGGAGACCGCTGGGGTGAGCCTGCCTGGTAGCCCCCGCCAGGCTCGTACTGGACGTCCATGGGGGGCTCGTCGTAGATGGGGGCCTGGTACTCCACAGGGGGCTCCTCATAGAGTGGGGGCTCATAGGCGTAGCGTGGGGAGGAGGGCTGTGAGTCGCTGGTGGGCTTGCGTGGCTGGGCCAGCAGTGGGGAGCAGCTACCGAGCTCAGCCCTCTTCAGGAAGGGCGAAGGCCGACGCTCAGGGAAGAAGACAGGGCCATCAGAGTCCGAGGCGAACGTCTGTAGGCTGGGCGAGTGCTGCCCACCTGAGGGTCTGCGGGAGCGGCTGCCAGGCTGGCCATCTAGGGCATAGCCATTGCCCTGGGAAGAGAGGAAGCTGGGCTCCCGGTCTGCAACTTTGATGAGCATGCGCTCCTTGGTGCCCGAATTCCACCGAAGCGAGGAGGTCCTGGGGGGAGGGGGGACAGGCACAGGTTACCTGGGGGAGGTTCTCGGGGGGGGGGGGGCAGGAACAGGTTACTTGTTGGTGGGGAGGCGGAAGTCTGGCCCAGCTACCAGCCTGAACACATTACTCACTGGCCTGGGCCTCACAGGTGTCTGAAGTCAGGGCCCAAGAGGCCTGGGTCATTTCTCAGTGTTCTCCTCACCTCCCAAATGGGGGCTGCAGGCTTCAGCGGCCTGACACTTGCTGGGGGGCTCCCTGTAAATGGCCTGTCCACCTTTCATTGCTGGCACCCAACCCCTGGGCAGTGCAGTCTAGAGTAGCTGCCCTCCTGTCCTCACACAGTTCCCTCTCCTCTGGGGCCCATCATGACACTCCCTGCAAGGAAGGGTGTGTGTGTGTATGTGTGTGTGTGTTCTGGTCACACCCCAGCACCAGGCACAGAACTATTTCTACAACAGCTGGGGGTGGCCCTCCCAGAGGCCTCTCTAACTCTGATTTGATATGGTTATTTCTCTGCAGGCCTCACTCCTGGATCTAGCACCTGCCTGTGCTCCTACAGGGTGGTGGGCCACCTCTCACCCCTCAGCATCTCAGGTCCTGTTTTTCAACAAGAGTGTCCTGTGAGCTCCAAAAAGGCTGACTCCCCCGTGACTCTGCCCTCATACATACACACAACACTGCACCTGGGCACAGACAGAAAAACTGCTTTTTTGAGCAAAATTCAGGGGAAGGTACAGAGATTTCCCATATACCCCCTACCCCTGCTCATGTACAATCTCCCCAGTTATCATCATCCCCACTAGTGGTGCATTTGTTACGGTCGATGAACCTACACGGGGACATGATCATGAAGCATCATCATCACCCAGCGTCTAGTTGACCTCAGGTCTCACTCCAGGTGCTGGACCTTCTGTGGGTTTGGACAAACATGTCATGACGTGCGTCCACCAGTAGATTGTCATACAGAGTAGACTCCCTGCCCTAAATTCTCTGGGCTCTGACTGCCCCTCCCTCCCCCCAACCCCTGGCGACCACTCATCTGTCTCCATGGTTCTGCCTTTTCCAGAGTGTCAGAGACCTGGAATCACACAGTATGGAGCCTTTTCCAATTGGCTTCTCTCACTTAGCAATATGCATTTAAGGTCCCTCCGTGTCTTTCCAGGGCTCGAGAGCTCATTTCTATGTAGCGCTGAATGACATCCCATCGTCTGGATGGACTGCGGGTCACGTATCTGTTCACCTACCGAAGGACGTCTCGGTTGCTTCCAGGTTTTGGTGACTCTGAATAAAGCTGTTACATACATCCATGCACAGGTCTTGATGTGGCTATAAGTTTTCAACTCTTTGGGGTAAATACCAAGGGCCATGGTTGCTGGATCACATGGTAAGAGCATGTTTAATTTTGTAAGAAATCTCTAAACCGTCCTAAAAAGTGGCTGCACCGTTCTGCTCTCCCACCAGCCATGAGTGAGCGTTCCTGTTGCTCCGCGTCCTCACCAGCATCTGGTGTCATCGGTGTCTGGATTTTGGCCATTCCAGCAGGTGTGTCGTGGGATCTCGTTGTTTTGTGTTTCCCTGATGACATATGATGTGGAGCATCTTTTATATGCTTATTCGCCATCTGTGTATCTTCTTTGATGAGGTGTCTGTTAAGGTCTCTGGCCCATTCTTTAACTGTGTTGTTTCCTCACTGCCAAGTGTTCTTGGTATTTTAGATAACAGTCCTTTATCACATGTAGCTTTTGCAAATACTTTGCCCCAGGCTGTGACTTGTCTTCTCATTCTCTTGCCACTGTCTTTTGAAGAGCAGAAATTTTTAAATTTTTTTTTTTAAAGATTTTATTTATTTATTTGACAGAGAGAGGTAGAGGCACAGCGAGAGAGGGAACACAAGCAGGGGGAGTAGGAAAGAGAGAAGCAGGCTTCCCACCGAGCAGGGAGCCCGATGCGGGGCTCGATCCCAGGACCCTGAGATCACGACCGGAGCCGAAGGCAAGTCGCTCAACGAACTGAGCCACCCAGGCACCCCGAAATTTTTAATTTTAATGAAGTCCAGCTGATCAATTATTTCTTTCTTGGATGGTGCCTTTAATGTTGCATCTAAAAATCATCGCCACACCCAAGATCACCTAGGTTTTCTCCTACGTCATCTTCTAGGAGTTTTGTGTTTTAACATTTGGTCTGTGACCCATTTTCAGCTCATTTTTGTGAGGGGTGTAAAATCAGTGGCTACATTCATTTTTTTACAAGCGGATGTTCAGTTGCTCCAGCACCATTCATTGGAAAGACTATCCTTAGTCCACTGAATTTCCTTTGCCCCCTTGTCAAAATCAGCTGCCTATATTTTTATAGATCTAGTTCTTGGCTCTCTACTTTGTTCCATTGATCTATTTGTCTATTCTTTACCAATACCACATTGTCTTCACTATGGTAGCTTTAGAGTACGGTCTGTTGTTGTTTTTTTTAAGATTTTGTTTATTTACTTTTCAGAGAGAGAGCTAGCGAGAGCCACACAGCAAGGGGAGCGGCAGGCAGAGGGAGAAGCAGACTCTCTGCTGAGCAGGGAGCCCGATGTGGGGCTCGATCCCAGGACTCTGGGATCATGACCTGAGCCGAAGGCAGAGGCTTCACCAACTGAGCCACCCAGGCGCCCCTAGTAAGTCTTAAAATTGAGTAGTATTAGTCCTCCAACTTTGTTCTCCTTGAATACTGTGTTGGGTATTCTGGATCTTTTGCTTTTCTATGTAAGTTTTAGAATGAGTTTGTTGATATCCACAAAATAACTTGCTGGGATTTTGATTGAGGTTGTACTGAATGTATAGAGTAAGTTGGGAAGAACTGACATTTTGACAGTATTGAATCTTCCTGTCCATGAACATGGGATATCTCTCCATTTATTTAGTTCTTTATCTTTTGTTAGAGTTTCGTAGCTTTCCTCATATAGATTTTGTAAATATTTTGTTAGATTTATACCTATGTATTTCGTTTTTGGGGGTGCTAATGTAAATGGTATTAATTTCAAATTCCACTTGTTCATTGCTAGTATATAGGAAAGCAACTGATTTTGTAAACTTACCTTGTATCCTGCAAACTTGCCATAATCACTTGTCAGTTCTAGTTTTTTTTTTTGGGTCAATTCTTTAGGATTTTATAGATAATTTTAGACCGAAATTCTGATGAAAAACTGTAGGGATCATCTGAGGCTCTGGATTTATTTTTGTTTCTGACAGGCAGCTGGGGAAAGGTCAGATAACCTGAATCCCATCTGGGACTGAGCTGACTGGAAATCAGGCTTAGGTTTGAGAGCTGGTCTACTTATGGCTCATCCTACTCCTGGGTACAGCCTTTCAGGAGTCCAAGTGGAAACATGGAATGTTAACTAGGGCTCATTTTTGTGGCCTCTGGACTCTGATGTCTGGAGCCATGGAACCACCCAATGGTCAGCTCAGCTTCTTAGCCTCACTGTCCCGAGGAAGAGGAAGTGCCATCCGTGTGCCAGGCTGCACTGATGCCTCCTCAGCCCTCAAGTCTCCACTCCCTAGTAGATCCCTGATGACTTCAGGGCAATTCTGTCTATTTTGTTCTCTGTGTGCAGGCTGGTCTCGTAAGTTAATGCAGTGGTGACTGCAAAAGTGGAAATCAGAGTTTTAAGAAACCAGCTGTACAGTTTGCCACCTCTGCCCCTGACCTCTGGTTGTTGCCGGACCTTTCTGGGCAAGGTCATGACTGCCAATTACTGGGACTGGGAGAAGCAGGCCTTGGAGGACACGGGCCAGTGATGCGAGACTGGATGAGAGCATGGAGGCCCATGCCAGCTGGGAGGCAGCCTACTCCAACGTGCCAGGTGCGGGGCCCCCTGAGCACAGCCAGGATCCAACTCTACCAGTTGACAGCGATGACCAGCAGCTCAGTCTCACTGTCCTGAGGAGAAGTCAGAGAGTGGCAGGACTCGGGATGCAGGCTCCCACTCCTGGGAAGTCTGCTCCTGGCTGCTGGAGGCAGAGTGAAGGGTGGCAGGTAATGTGTCAGGGACCAGCAAACCCTGAGGACTGGGCTGGGAATCCAGAAATCTGGGACTGGACTTCAGCCTGTTGCTACCTGGCTGTGGGGATTGGGAAAAATCACTTACCATCTCTGACTCAGTGTCCTCATTTATTCTTATGAGGATTAAGGCACATAATGTGCCTACGATAAAGTCCTTAGCTCAGTACTGACATAGAGGAAACACTCAGCAAGTGTGAAGCATCATTTCTGCACTTTTTTCCACCACTGAGCAGACAGTGACCCAGCCCTGGTGCCAGGGCCCCCACAGGGGCTATGAGGTAAAGAATGATCCTCGCCTGCTGAAGGGCGCTGAGGGCTGTCGCCCAAGGAGGCACCTTGTGGCCTGTCAGTTGTGGGCCATCAAAATCGTGCTGTACGATGATGAGGGTGGGAACGAGTGTCAGGGTCAAGAGCACGTGAGAGGCAGCTGGTCAGATGACACACCTGTCCCAGGACTCTAGAGCGGTTTCATCTAGTCAGGGTGGAAATGAGAGGGACTGAGGCAGGAGAAAGGCAGACCGATGGCCTTGCCCTCCACCGTGAACGCCATGTCCCTGAGCTGAGGGGCGATGCCCAGCACTGCAGCGTATGTGGGCACCGAGCACCCCTACAGAAGTCAAGGCAGGCCTGGGGCCCATGTAGGAACCTCTGCGTCATGGACTCCAAGTCACAGTTGGGAAAATGGGCCCCTAGGGCCCAGAGATGGCCCTTGGTCACGGAGAGTAAGGAGCCCAGCAGCCAAGAGGGGCCTCCCCGACAGGCTTCACTGCACAGCGGCTTCAGCTCTCATCCTCAGGCCAGGCCTTTCCGCAGCCCCATACTCTGTGTTCCCACCTGACCCCACTTCTCTGCCCTGCTTCTGGAAGCGCTCTTTGAAGCCCTACATCCAGTTTCCACGCCCTGCTGTCTGCCTCTTGTGCACCCCCCCACCTCTGACCACTGAGCGGCCAGATGGCCCAGCTGCCTGTGGCCACCCTTTCTACCCAGTCCGACCTCCCTGGCCTGCCCTCAGACCTGTCTCCTTATGGTTCCCCAAACCCAGGAAGCCTGTCCTCACCCATGCCTTAATCCCGCATCAACTCTACTAGGGCGGAGGCACCCAGGCAGAGAGTCACACTTGTCTCTACATAAAATGGGACGACTGCTTGATCTGGTTGTTCAGTGACTCTCTAAAACCATGAGAGAAGACGGAACCTTCCATGCGCTGGAAATGCTGGAGACAGGCAAGCAGGGCAGAGGCGGGTGTTGAAAGGGCAGGAGCAGGAAGAGAGGGCTCCATTCAGCTCAGAGTACTTCTCCATGGCCTCTTTCCAAAAGGAGAATGGACAGCACCTCACAAGACCAAAGCCGGAGGAACTGCTCTGCCGCCGCCTCCTCAGGAGGTGGCCGCCGTGTACGCGGATGCCCGGACCTCCGTAACAAAGTTGGTGAGTGAAACTCACAGAGCCTTGATCATGTGGACAAGAAATTGTACATCTGAAGTTCTGTTTGAAAAACAACTTGAACCACACAGCTCTCCAACTGCCCCGTAAACCTTCAGGCTCACCAATTCACCTCCGTGCCTGGAGTGGATGAGCTGTCTACCAGGCGTCCCATCGTTGCCCCTGCCCTGCTCAGGGACCTGACCAGCACACAGCCTTGGGTAGGCAGCACAAGCCACCCTGGACAAGCTCCTTCCTGCTCCCCTCCTCCTCACAGACCCTGCTCACGGTGTGGTAGGGAGGGGGAGTCTCTCCCCTAGTCTGTCCCTACACTTACCTTCCCGTTCTTCCTACCCTGGCTGGGTGAGTGCCTTCATTCCTAAAACTACACCGTGTCATTCTCATATCCAACTCAGATGGCACCCAGGACAGCAGGCCCAGGGCTGCAACAGGCCACCAAAGACCAGGTGGGCACACGCACCCTACAGGAAACACCAAGTCTGAGGGCCTGCCCTGACCTACCCTCACCTGCAGCAGGTGCACTGAGGGCCCACCCAGACAGCCCTCTGCATCCCGCTTTACTGGGGAGGACACGGAAGCACAGGGAGGCTACAAAACACACCCACGGTCACACACCCACACTGGCCGACCCAGGTAGCCTCAGATTCATTCCATATCAACAAACCGAGTTAGCCCTTCCAGGATCGATCTTTAAACTGTCTGAGCAAACCACCAAAGCCCGCTCCTCAGGTCTTCAAATGCCTTCCCAACACTGGTATCACTCCTGTTGGGTCTGTGTTGAGGGCACTTAGGCCACCAGAGGCACACCACCCCACCTGGACCGATGAGTTGGCTGAGGATGGCCCCCGCCCAGTCTGACAGATGCTGTGCCCTGGGGTCCCGAGGGTCATCTCTGGAACCTTGCAATACCCTGCAAGGCCAACCCAGGACCAAGAGAAGCCAATGTCCACTTCCTTCCTTATGATGAACATCAATCTTCCCAACGTCACCTGGGAAGCACTCTGATGCATGGCCTGGAGCTCCAGGGGAGAATGCATGCTGAGGATCCCCCAAGGACTCACTCCTCTGTTAGGGGCAATGGGCTCCATGGCTCCCCAAACCGGGCAGTGACAAGCTTCTTCCAGCTTCCTGAAAGCTGCCACATGAACCTGGGGGCCACTCCAAAAGGCCTCTGCCCAGGTGCTGGTGGCTCCAGAGCCTCTCATCATGTTCCTCTGGCCAGCACAGGACCCCTCATGCTGTATACATCCAGCTTCTTGTTGAGCCAGATTCTTCTCCAGCTCACCCAAGAGCTGCCAGGAAAACCACCCTCAGGTCAGGAGACAGGACCAAGTGTGAGCCAGTGGGTTCTACCTGTAGTGAAGAAGTTGGCCATCCACATTATAATCCCGGTAAATCTCATAGTCCTTCTCAAGGAACACTCCTGGTGGTGAAGAACTAGAACATAGCAAAATGAAAAAAGACATGCGCATAAGTGCAATAATTTAAAAATATGGTACATTCAAAATAAACCTTTCACTTTTAAGAATGTAAGTGTTGGGGCGCCTGGGTGGCTCAGTCGTTAAGCGTCTGCCTTCGGCTCAGGTCATGATCCCGGGGTCGTGGGATCGAGCCCCACATCGGGCTCCCCGCTAGCAGGGAGTCGGCTTGAGGCTCTCCCTCTCCCTCTGCCCCTCCCCCTGTTCTCTTTCCCTCTCAAATAAATAAGTCTTAAAAAAAAAAAAGAAACACTCTCATGGGGATGAGACTTTTTTTTTTTTTTTT